TTTTTTTTTTTTTTTTTTTTTATGTATTGATTTGAGAGAGATAAAGAATGGGAAAAGAGAAAGAGAGAAACATCAATTTGTTCCACTTATCTTTGCATTCATTGGTTGATTTTTATATGTGCCCTGACCAGGGATCAAACCTGAACCCTTAGCATATAGGGACGATGCTCTAACCAACTGAGATACCCAGCCAGGGCTCAAGATATCACATTTTCAAACTTTAAAGTTAGACATATAGTTCAGCCTAGAAAGTTTTACATTAAAGTGTTACAGGTGTACATCATTATTTAAGTCTAGTATCTATGAGAAAGCTGGAAATGGCAAATAAAAATATACTTAGAGCTTTACCCTTCTAATATTATCATGGCTATTTCAGCAGAAACATTAAGAAGTGGTACAAAAAGCAGAATACTGGCAGCAGAAAAGGCACCTTTGTGCTGCTGTGGCTGTCCTAGCTTTCTTTATCTGGCCTGGGACTGCCAGTGCATTTTAATATCACAGCCTGTGAAGTCTACAGATTACTAAACTATAAACACAAGCCAACCTGCTTATGCTTTCTATTTGAGAATAATGCATCTGACAAACCATAACATCAGTATCCTCTTGGTTCCAAATGAAAAGTAAAACTTATCTGTAGATCTCTGAACACCTCAAAATAAACTTTAAACTATGAGGTATTTTTCTCAAGCAATCATCCCTGTGACAACTGTTCAAGAATTTTAGTCTATTTGCAATATCAATTTGTGATTTTAGGAAGAAAAAATTTTAACATTAAATTTTTTTTTTATTTTTCAATTACAGTTGACATGCAAAATTCTATTCATTTCAGGTGGACAACATAGTGATTAGACATTTATGTAACTTACAATGTGATCCCCCCTGGTATTTCCAATACCCACCTGGCACCACAGATAGTTATTACAATATTATTGACTATATTCCGTATTCTCTGCTTTACATCTCTGTTAATGTTTTTAAAATTTTTTATTGATTTTCAGAGAGAAAGAAACATCGATTTGTTGTTCCACTTATTTACCCATTCATTGGTTGCTTCTTGTATGTGCCCTGACTGGGGATCAAACCCAAAATCTTGGCATAGCAGGATGACACTCTAACCACATGAGCTAACGGGCAATTTGTACTTCTTAATCCCTTTACCCTTTTCACCCGGTTAACACATTTTTCTTACATCAGGTTAGTATTTTGCATAGAGATGTGAACAAGCCAGTCATGTAAATGAGGTGTGATAAGAGGAAAAATAATTTGAGCAAACTGATTTTAAATGAAGCGACTGAAAGAAAAGGGCATGCAGTTTATATCTGAAAGAGGCCCAATAAGGAAAAAACAATTTATGGACAAACATTCACAAAGGGCAATGGCTTTGTTCAGTTTAAGAGCACTTCTAGGCATTACATTGAAATGTTGGTTTACTTTAAAAAATAAGATTCATGTTATTTGAGAAAGGTGTATGCAGAAAATTAGCCAAATCCTTCCTTTTTTCCAAGCCTCAGAAACACTAATTTACATCAGAAAAACAGATTCCACTTCAGAAAGGAAGAGGTAGTGACCCAAATGGACCAGGTTTGGCAACTCAGGAAGAGCCCAGAGCTATCATTACTTGAGAAGGAAAACAGAGATCCTTGGAATAAATTAGTCCAATTTTGCTGTCAGGTTCTTTTGTAGAAAGCAGTAACGATTTCAAGTATTCCATTAATATTGGCAAGACCAGTCATATTTTTAGCTTCTAAAATAAAGTTTCGAGTTTGTTTCTATCAAGGTACTTGTAGACTCAGAGAGCAGGGCACTTAAGCCTTTCAAAGGCACCCCACTTGCATCCCACTTCTGGTTCACCTATTCAGGGCTGAATACATTATTTGATATTTATATAGTTTATATATACTCTTAAGGAGCCTTACATTTAGATTGTTATTTTTAAAAATATATCTTTATTGATTTCAGAGAGAGGCAGGGAGAAGGAAATTGAAACATCAATGATGAGAGTCATTGATCGGCTGCCTCCTGCATGACCCCGACTGGGAATGGAGCCTGCAACCCAGGCATGTGCCCTGACTAGGAATCGAACCACGATCTCCCAGATCCTAGGTCAACACTCAACCGCTGAGCCATGGCTGGCTGGGCTAGATTGGTATTTTTTTTAAATGTTTTTACTGATTTCAGAGAAAGGGAGAGGGAGAAACATCAATGATGAGAGTCATTGATCACCTGCCTCCTGCATGCCCCCTACTGGGGACTGAGCAGCATCCTGGGCATGTGCCCTGACCAGAAATCCACCATGGCCTGGTTCATGAGTATATGCTCAACCGCTGAGCCACGCAGTCTGCCCGCCAGGCAAGAGCTTCCATTTAGAAAATGCCAGGTAACTGTTTAGCATTGCTGTGCTTAATACCCAACCCTATATTTTTCCTTCTTTTGATAATAGGACGTATTGCTCCCTCACAATAAACTTTATTTTCAGGAACAATAAAATCTGATTACTTAGAAAACCAGGTCTTTATGTGAAAGAGTATGAGTATTTAGATATCAACCAAATTAGTGAGCAGGGAAGTCAGAATGAAAAGAGCCTCTTTCTAACGGTCTTAAGAGAACATTTACAAGTTGCAGTTGTGTGTCCCAACCACTGTATATGGAAGATAAAGCTTCATTTTCCTTTCATTTAGAAAACCAATTATCTAATAAATTTAGTGTTTAGGTGCTTCTGGCTTATCTTTAAAGGGAACCCCTTGGTTTGCAAACTTTCAGCTGAACTCTCTTAACATCTTTTAATGATTTATCCCTGGTCCTGCAGATTTTAAGAAAGCCCAGACATCAACTAAAAACTTCTCAGAAAGCTAGTTTCAAGTACAAGAATTCTTTTCAGTCTAAAGAGGGTAATGATTACACTTACAGACAGTATAATGAAAAAACATCAATGCAGTTTATTTCAACACTTCTAATTTATGAGAAAAACCTCTTAAAGCTACATCAGAAGTCAATTCATCAATACTTAACTTGGAAAGCATAAGCAAGAAAGACCCAACATTTTATTGGGACTACACAATTTAGCACAGTACTAGGCACCATACTAGAACAACAAACACACACACACACACAAAACTGAAGTAGGAATGACAACAGACACTGTTAAACTCCAGGGGATCAATGAACCTCCCAAAACTGTATACAAAAAGTTGTGTAGTGTGTGCACTTTTCTGGGGGAGGGGTCCCATAACTCCAATCAACAGTACAAACTAGAATTCTAATCTTCTTCCCTATATCTGCAGTATAGAAAGCTGTGGATGGACCTCAGGAAGTTCATTCCTGTACATCTAAGAGTCAATTTTCATGGAAAGAGGGTAAAAAGGAAAACAAAAGTAACTTGCAAGAACTGGGCAGGGGAAACGCCAAAGTGCTGTTTATCTTTTAAGTTTAGTAACATGTTCTGGTTTAGAGAGGAGAAATAGGGACCTAAGTGGTAATATAAGCTGGAAGCAAGGAGACTCCTATGGGATTTCTCAAATCCTTAAAAAAACTAAAGTATAAAGCATTAATAGCAAGAATTTAAAATGCAATTTAACTCAACTCCAATTTTCAGTTTCTGCATATTAACAACTTATTTTTATTTTTAAATATCACAAACTTCAATCAGAATATTTTAAAAAATATTCTGCATGCATTTAACAAATCTGACAAAGGACAAGTATCCAGTTTACTTGTGTTATACTATGAAGTTTTAACTGAACAGCCAGTTAACATATATTTAAGATCATTAATTACAGGTAACAATGAAAAAGTCAATGTATTAATCTGATGGCATCCTATCACTAAGCAATGTTCATTAACACTATTAGTAATTACCCTGGAGCACAGGCAAAATGTAGATGGAGGAATTTCCCTCAAAAGCAAGTTTAAGGGATCAAATATCATCATCATCATCATCATCATCATCATCATCATCATCACTACTGAGGATAAAGCTGCTGCATGTGGACACGGCCCCTTCTTCCCGAACATTCCCCACACCACCCACAGTCCCTTTCTCATCAGAATCATCAGAATTCTCGTTGGAATCCTCATCAAAGAACTTCTCGTTGGAATCCTCATCTTCGAGCATGTTTTCATCTGTACCTTCCTCATCCTCCTTTGCATCTACTTCATCTTCTTTTTCGTCTGAATATTCAAACATCTTCTCATCTGCATCTTCGTCGTCCTTTTCATCAGCATCTTCAAGCCCCTTCTCATCTGCATCTTCTTCGTCCTCTTTTTCATCAGACTCATCATCAAAAACATTTTCATATGTATCTTCTTCCTTTTCATCTGATTCTTCATCAAACTCTCTCTCAGAGCCCTCCTCATCAATAACTTTTTCAGAGCTGTCATCATCAAATTGTGATCTTTCAGAGTCATTTTCTTCTGACTCTTTTTCGAGAAGATTTCCACTAAACCCGTCAGAGCCATTCTCATCAAACTCTTTTTTGAGGACATTTTCTTCAAATTCTTTCTCAGAGCCATCTTCAAACAGCTTTTCAGAGTAGTCTTCTCCAGATTCTCTTTCCGACTCGTCTTCTTCAGACTCCTTTTTGAGGCCATTCTCTTCAAAATCACTTTTGAGCCGCTTCTTTTTGGATTCTCTTCTGGGGCCATTCACTTTAGATTCCTTTTTAGGACAACCCTCTTCAAACCCTTTTTTGGAACAGCTTTCCTCAGACTTTCTTTCAAGGCAGTCTTCTTCATATCCTTTCTTGGGGTAGCATTCTTCAGCCTCTTTTTTGAGGCCAATTTCTTTAGCATCTTCTTCAAATTCTCCATCTTCTGTTTTTTCAAACTTCTTTTCATCTATAGGCTCTTCAAATTCCATTTGAGTTTCACCTTCTTCAGCATTCACTTTAGATGTGCTAGGATGTTCTGAAAAATGCCTTACTCTAGAAGGCCCTGCTCCTTCCGAAGCACAGATGGAATTTGAACGCCGGAAACCTCTATTGGCCTCAGGAGAATCGAGGAAAGCCTCCCATCCTTTCAGTCTTTCCTCCCTTTCTCTTGTGGTCTCCTCCACCTGTGCATAAATAGGAATTGCCAATAAAATAAGTTTTAGGCGAAAAGTAACAACATCTCTGAGCATTTCTAAAATTGACAAAAGTATCCTGATTTTATAAGGTATTGCTTCTTAGGAAATCAAAGCAATTCCCTATCTTCAGTTTTCAAAACTTTACAACTTAATTTACTAGAGGTGACCTCAAGATCATTTAAATAAATGTCCAACACCACAGTACTGCAGAAATGTCTCATCAATTAAAAAGTTAAAATTCTGCCTGTATTTTACAACACAGAAAGGAAAAGAAACATTTTGGTTAACGTGTTCTTTTCGTATCACTATTCTGAGCAAGCCTAATTTCAGACTTGCAAATTGAAAGGTTGAACATTTTTCATTCTATGCTCTGAATGCAAAGTATTATTTAAAAGTACTACTATTACATTACACAGATTAAAGCAAATCCAAACTTATTTGAAGGACTGCTAGACCAGTGTTTGTTGGGAACATTATGTTCCCCTGGTAGTTGGAGAATTTACCTGATAATCTGTAGTTCCATCCCACGCTTGGGCAGTGATTTGACGGCCACCAAACCACCGTCCATCCAGGGTTTGAATACAATAATCAGCTTCCTCTGGATCTCTGAAGGACACAGAGGCCACACCATCTGGGTGTCTCTAGAAAGACAAGAAAACAAAGGAATAAATGAGAAAATTCAAAATTAAACATGCACATTTGACAAAGTAGGTAAGTAGCAGTGTTCTTTCTGATAAATTGAATAAAAGATAACTATGTATGAAGCCTTTCTTCCCTTCTACCCCAGCAAGTAACACGCAGCTAAGCTGCTTCTTTAGCTTAATCTTTTCTAGCAAGAACCAAGCATGATGTCCTCAGAAATGTTTCTGCTGACAACACTATCTAGAACAGGCAAGACAGCAGAGTTCTTAAATGTGGACTCTAAAGTCAAACAGCCCTGGGATTCAATCCTGGCTCTGCCACTTAGCAGCTAAATGACCTTGGGCAAGGTGCTCAATCTCTATAAACTTTCAGCATCATCTGTAAAATGGGTATGATAGCACCTACCTACCTCAAAGGACTGAGGATTAAATAAGATAACATGTAAAGTAGCTTGTGTAGTACACAATAAACAGTGACTCATTTATTATGTGTCAATTTTGGAAGTAAAAAAAAAGGCTACGGGGACATATACAAGAGAACATTTTTCTTGATTGTTCTTCTCCAAATACAGGGAGGAGAATCATTCAAGAGCAGGAAATGTGGGCAAACAGGGAATCACACATTTTTCTTGTACTTTCTTTACCTGATCATATACTCTAGAGTGATGATAAAGGGAAATAATCACAGCACCAAATCTATCAAAGCCTTGACTTACAATTCATGCTCATCTAATTATTGCTAACAGATGACTACCACTAGATAGAAGACCTACTATCTAAAAACATTCATGTAAAATTGGGGCATCCTGACATCCAGTAATAACTTTTCACTGGAAGAATGATTGCTTCAGAAATCATTTGTCCAAGCCACGAACTTACATCAAACAGAAGGAGTTTCCTAATTTGTCCAAACTTTGAACACTCTACTCGAAGATCTTCCCTGATCTCATTCAGCACCAACGGATCATCCTGCAAAAATACATGATTCAAATGGGTTTGCCCCTTTCTTTAAGTACACATCCCAATAATCAAATTTCTTGCTTTGACATACCAACAAAAAGGTTTTAAGTTATTTATGTCTGTTTGTAGTCTACAAAATTAAAAAAAAACACACAAGTCAAAATCAAACGAAGTAAAACTTCCACAGCTGCTGCTACTACTACAGGTCTGCCCTGCTTTTAAGACAGAAAAAATGCGCAAGTATGGTTGCAGCAGGAGTGTACAGTGGCAGACGAGGGGGAAGGGAAGTGGAACTGGAAATCCCAAATAATGGCAGCTGTAAAGGCAGGAGAAGTCCGGTGGCACATATTAAGTCAGAGACTGCTAATTACTATGTGTTGCATGGGCATGATGTCTGTGCCAATGACAGCCTTTTGCTTTGTGTTTTGCACAGATTCCTATTTACAGAAATGTTGTAATGGGGAGAGATATACCCCTTTCATTGACTAAGTGTTCTAAGATTGTTCTTTGTGCTTTCAAGATTCTATTTTAACTCATGCAGTAAACTTCCCTTACAAAGATTCCTGTTCACCTTGTCTCCTACACATTGCAACAGAACCACACAAATAAGGAGCCGATATTAAGCACACAATAAAACATGTTCTTAGCTGTTGCTTTCTTGCAACTACAAGCCTATTAAGAACATTCAAGCACTGCTGTTGAGTTCAGGTGGACCCCCCAACCCCCCAGTAAAAGGTTTTATGATTTCCTGTAGGAATTAACAAATCTTTCACAAAGGCCCAACGCATGAAACAGGCTCATAAATGTATTATCAACTTGAACTGCAACTACATGCAAATATAAATGAGTATATCCTACGAATTCCTTTTTTATTTATTGATTTTTAGAGAGAGAGAGGAGGGAGGNAGAGGGAGGGAGGAAAGGGAAGGAGGAAGAGGGAGGTGGGGAAGAGGGAGGGAGGTGGGAGAGAGATACATCAATTGGTTGATTCTTGTATATGACCTGACTGGGGATCAAAACCGCAACCTTGCCCAGCTGGGCGTGGCTCAGCAGTTGAGCATCGGCCTAGGATCCAGGAGATCGTGGTTTGATTCCCAGTCAGGGCACATGCAGGGTTGTGGGCTCGATCCCCAGTCGGCGGCGTGCAGGAGGAAGCTGATCAATGACTCGCTCATCACTGGTGTTTCTATTTCTCTCTCTCCCCCTTCCCTTCCTCTTTCTGAAATCAATAAAGATATATTTAAAAAAATTAAAAACAAACAAAAAACCCCTGCAACCTTGTGTATCAGGACGATGCTCTAACCAACTGAGCTACCCAGCCAGGGTCCTACCTACAAATTTCTATTGAAGTACAAGAAAGACATTTAAAAACGTTTAAATTCACCTATCTCACAGGTTTTTATTTTCCTCACCAACTAAAGAAGAACTGCAAAAAAGTACAAAAAGTGGCTTTTCCCTTCTAAAGTTCTCTCAGAAAGAAAAAATAAACAACTGGTAGGCAGTTATTAAAATTAATTTTAAAATTAAAAATATCCTATAAATCTGTGACCTCTAAAACTACAGCTGGAAGGACTCTGGATTTTCCCTACTTATAAAATCTAATTTTGGAGAAGCCAATTTGTTTTATATAAAATTATCAGACCTGAGAGGAATGGGGACTGGAACATAAAAGTTGTTTGGTAAAGTCATATGGTGGCTTTTCAGTACAGTGTGGCTCCTATCAGATTGCGTGCTTTCCGAAGGCAGGAATTGTGTTTAAATGAGTTCTGTATGTCTGAGAACATAGCACAGTCTTTTAGACACAGTGAAAAGTCAATAAAAGCTTTCTCGAAGCTCCATAAACTATTCGTAGTACCTCTATTTTGTTTACTAAGAGAAATCGGGATTACATTAAAAAGAAAAAACTGTTTCAAAATACTTCCTTTGTGGGAGGAGGGGAGCACTGTCTTTATGTCTATATCAAAGTCTAATGTTCTTCCTACGAGGATATCAAATTTTAGCTAGTCTTCCCAGACTTCTGTTTTTACTTATACCAGTTTAATTAACTTTTCACTGCTTTATTGTCCTGAAGCTTTAAGATAGTCCCCTGCTCTAGGAAAACTCTTTAACATAGCTAAGCATGGAAATTTTCTAAAAACAACACTTTGCAGGCAACAGACCTGAGACTAAAATCAGACTGATACATTGACACTTCCTAGAGTCAATGCTCATAACTTTCCAGGGTGGTGTTTTGTTTTCCTAGGAAAAAATAAACCATATTTCTTTTCTTTTTAATCCTCACTCGAGGACATATTTACTGATTTAGAGGGAGAGGAAGGGGGCGAGAGAGAGCAAGAGACATCGTTGTGAAACACTGATTGGTTGCCTCTCACACGTGGCCCAACTGGGGACCAAACGCAAAACCAGGTATGTGCCGACCAGAAATCAAACCTGCAACCTTTCAGTGTACCAGATGATGCTCCAACCAACTGAGCCACACAGGCCAGGGCCAAATCATTTTTCTTAATCCTTCCTAATCTAAACTTACACTGTCCAAGACAGTGGCCACTAACCACATGTGGCTACTGAGCACTTGAAATGTCACTAGTCTAAACTGGGGTATGCTGCAAGTGTGAAACATGGGGAATATTAACAGCAAAAAAACAAGGTAGACAGAGCCCTGGCTCTCATGGAGCTCACATTCCAGTTGAGGAGACCCAATTATTTCAGATAGTAAGAAATGCTATGAAAGAAACAAAGAAGAGTATAATATAAAGTTCTATAACTCTAAAGAACAATTTACACTAAATAAGTAAGGGTGGTGTTTTTTAAACCAGATTCTTTGAGTTAGGTTTGCATTTATATTCACCCTCAAGTGTTAGAGGAGTGTGGAATGTGTGAATCCAGGACCTAAAGTCATAGATATTAATATGCCTCCTAATAAAAAAATCAATTACTTACCAGAGGGGTAAAATGTGATGAATTGTAGGCAATTCTGGAGTTGTATCTAGTAGACTAGATACCATGATCCATCAATGTATTGCTTTTAAAGCCCCATCTGGTAAGGACTGCATTTCAAAAAGCATTTAGCATGAAAGTGTATTTTTAAAAGATACTTCATTATCACTGCAAGTCTAAAGCTCTATTTCAAGATTCTTCAGGATTTCAGTCAGGAGAAACATCAAAAATCTTAAATAGACCAAGTGTATTCTCCCAATGATCTCAAAAGATACACAGACTCCATAGGTGCATAGTAAATCCTACCATATCACTATTCACCTGGATGGTGCTCAAGACCATTTTGGGGTCCTAGTATCTAAGGGGGCTAAAATGACACTGCCATTCAAACTCTGTTTAAATGCACAAAAGGAATAAGAGTGGGTTTTGGTTGCAAGTAGATCATTTGTAAACCTGTAATTTTACATTATGAACATTTTTTTATGTGTAAGCTACTGTTAATTTCAGAATCCAGGAAGATAGTAAAGACATGTTCTTCCACAAATAATCCTAACCCCATTGGTCTATGCCACAAAACAGAGATAAGAACAAGAGGCAGAATGCAACACGAGGTACCCTGATGGCAATTAACATTCCTTAAACCTCTCTAGTAGCTCTTCCTTTATTTGCTGTTCTTGGAATTTTACATAGACACTAATATTATAAAGTCCTCCTAATATCCACTAAAGACTTTTGTAAAAATTAGGTCCTGAAAAACAACCTCCAATATTTAAACACCAGGGGCTGTATTTCATTAACCTAACTTTTATTTTATTATTATTTTTTAAGCCTCACCCGAGGGTATTTTTTCCATTGCTTTTCAGAGTGGAAGGGGAGGGAGGG